CCCCCCCCCCCCCCCCCCCAACAGAGGCAACAAGGATTCTCCCTTCCTAATTTTTGGGTGTGGGGACAAGGTGGATACAAAGCTAGAAGAAAAGCCAAGTATGACAAGATAAGCATCTTATGAAAGCCTGTGGGCAAACAGAGTTTACCATGATATCTTCATATGGCAAATGCAATGCCAGTTTCATACTGAAACATCACAATGGTGTTGCAGAGCAGTAAGCCACCACATGCAATGCCAGGATGTCACAAAGATCCATGTGTCTGTAATAACGACTTATCATTTCCATCTTGCACAAGCTTTTGTTTTATCTGCCACTTAGTTCTGCTGTGTCTGCTTTTCCCCAGAGACCCGGGGAAAGGTACTGTGATACTCAAAAGCTTTTCTACGTCTATCCCAACCATGCAGTTGGTCCAATAAAAGATATCACAAGAATTCTTGCCTCTTGCACATTTCCTGGACCATCACGGCAACATCACCTCAGAACATTTATATCCTGATATTCTGACCCAAGGGGTTTTAAAGTTGAGTGAGGGTGAAAAAATTCACATTTAAAGGAGGCAAACGATGAAGCTAACATTGCTAGTTCAATGTTAATGAGGCTAACAGAGAAGTCACACATACTAGCTACAATAAGGAACTTGGGGAGGATCCCACACCTATATTATTTGCTCTGGAACTGGAATACTAACAAATTCTTTCTACACCAGCTTCAGAAAAAACTGTTTCCACTAATTCCCCACTTTTCTACTCCAGCAACATTGTATATGCTCCACACTAGAATTCCCTACCATGAAGGCACAGCTGCCTGCCTGAAACACCTGCAGGAAAAACAGACTACACTCGCTTTTGCAACTGCAACAGATTGTACAAATCATCCATTTCCTCATGTATAATAACTTAATTCAACAACCAACACTTCCTCCAAACCCCTGATATAGCTATGGACATAACATGCCAACCTTTTCAGGAGCCACCCAGAAGAGGATTTTTTTTTAGAGAATTGCTCCAAATTTGTAATATAGCTACACTACATAGATGATATTTTCATCAATCTGGATTTGCACTGCAGGTTTAATAACTATCACCCTTCAATTGAATTATTTCGGGAATACCCTTATACCTACATCAGCTTCCTAGACATCACAATCTACATATGGGAGGGTGCCCTATAAGGCACTACAGAAAACTCACAGACCACACACTTATGTCAACAAACTAGCAATCGCCCCAAACACACCAAAAACACCATAATCTAGTCAAGCCCTCAGATACCACAGCACCTGCTCTGAGAAAAATACTTGTGACCCCAATCTTGCCAAACTGAAAACTGCCTTTACCCAGCAAAAGCACTCCAGAAGATAAATAGATCATATCTTTTGACGAGCTACCCCTCAGCAGCCTAGTATAATGCAAGAAAACAAAACCCCATTGACCACACACCCTTGGTTCACACCTGCTAACCAACACTTGAACCGATAAGAAGGATCATCAAACAACTACAGCATATTTTTAAAAAGGACCAGACCCTGAGAAAAATATTCCCAGCCCCTCCAGCCTCAACAATAAATGCAAGACTGGTCAACACACCTCTACTGTTACAACAATCAATACTCCCCACAACAAACCCATCGGAATCCATGGATCATACATGTGTCTATCCCAGAATATGATACATCTCATCCAATGCAATAAATGTCCTCATGGCAAATGTTAGTGAAACCAAACAAAAACTATGTAGGAGAATGAATGATCACAGAAAGATGAAGGCAATAAAAACACAGGTAGCAGAACATTTTTAACACAAAGAAAAAAATCACTGCCTGACCTCACAGTTCTTGTGCTCCGAGAAAATCTACCCAACACCTTTACAAGATGAGGATAGGAACAGAAATTCATCAGCCTACTGGACATTAAGCACCAGGGACTTAACACAGACAATGACTTCATGGTCCACTGTAATCTACTTGATAACCTCTCACTTCACAGGTGATAACAACCCTTCTGAACAATCTTGTTCCTCCTTTATCAGGTTTTTACCGCATCTTCCTACCTGTTAGCTACCTGATAATTTCTCTTATATCCTGTTTTTATTTACACAGGGAGTGTTACACAAACGTTTATTCCATCTGCTACTTAGCTCTTCTTTGTCCACTTCTCTCCCAGAGGCCTAAGTGGGTGCATCCGGATAAGCGTGGATGTGTGGTATACAGTACTGCAGACCCATCTGTGGCACTGTATGTGCTGACGTTCCCTGTGCTGCTGTTTGCATCACAGAGCTGGATTTTTGACCCCGGGAGATCCTGGGGTCAAAAAAACCCATGCAGCATACGTGGCAGCAGTGCGCTCCACCCAAAACTGCAGCCTGGCTGGCTGCAGCCAGACTCCAGCTGCTGGCCAGGCTCCTTGCAGCAGGATTGCCATGGCTGCAGTTCCCAGAGGCCCAAGGCTGCTGGGGCCATAGGCACCAACTCTGTGGGTGCTCTGGGGCTCAAGCACCCACTGAAGAAAAAAAAAAAAAGCAGGTGTTTAGCATTCATGGAGCTGCATACAAATGTCACCCCCCCCCCC